TCATCTGATTTTTTAAAAAAATTTCTACTTTATTACCATGATTAAAGTTGAAATTTAATAATACAGTCCCCTTTATTCATAATATAAGACAAGACGTTGATTAAAAAAAAATTATAGTCCAGAACATAAGATATTGTCAAAATAATTAATATAATTTTTTTTATCTTTGTCTATATTAAATATAGAAGAAAGAAATAAGAGATAATAAAAATATAATATTAAAAGTGTAATTCTATTATTTTAAAACAAATTTAATGACTAAACTTGTATGTTTTGATATATGAGAAAAGTTAAATAATTTCTTGTATTATGGAGCGGAGGGAGTAGTACCTTCATGTTGCTAAAATTTAGGGTTTTTTTTTGAATCTATATATCTATATAGTACAGTACATCTAAAAGTAATCATTTTGGAACAGAGTTTTTTTTCCCTGTGAAATAAAATGAATAAATTTAAAATATAGTACTACGAGTATCATAGGAAGATGTTCACCGAGGAAGGAATGGGTACCAAAAAAAATCATTTAATGCATTGATGTTGCAACGTTTCTGGCAGAGCATTGACTTTATAATTAATGCATCAGACTGGTAAACAAAAGTAAATATATTTCTGAGTCATTAATTTTTGCATTGATAGTTTAAATTGTAGTACTACTGTTCAATTTTCTATTGCAAAAGTCATAAATGTTTGGCTAAAAATAATTACTCTTAGACACTTTCAGCATATTTTATATAAATTAAAAAAATTTTAAATTTTTTAACTCTTATTTAAAATTTAATAACTTTCTAACTTTATTCCTATTTAATTTATATTATACCTCATATACACAAAGTTAACACATTGATAAATAAGGGCTAACATTGTAAATCCATACGAAAAATTCCTTTCAGTATCTTATCAATAGAACTAAAAATATCTTCTCTCTCTGTCTTATAAATAAGATTAGAAGAGTATTCTCGAGCCAATTCAAACTTGCCTTCAATGGGGAATACGAATATTTTTCAATACAGTAATTAATCAATTAATGAATTAAATGTTCTAGAAATCCTACAAGACATTAGTACTCATAGAGTAGTACTAGAAAAAAGTTTAATAATAGTAATAAACCAATAATAGTACTGCGGAATTGAATGATGATTAATATTATTAATTACACTGTGAAATTGAAATTTTGAACTGTGGAGAAACAAAATTTCGGAATAACACGCGCAGGGTTTAAATGGGGTTGGGTGACATTTATGTAAGGAAGTTAATGCATAAGTTTCATACTGGGTGAAAATTAAATAATGGAATTCAATGAATTCATTATAATTTTTCTGGTCAAAAAGGAATTTATTATAATTTAATGTTAACATTAAGGTAGCGGATATGAACAGTAATGGTGGACGTACATTCAATTTCTTAGATTAGAGTGAATGGGAGGGTGAGGCATTCAAGATGACCATAAAAAAAAAAAAATTTTGGAAGAATTCTCATTTATTTTTTTTTTTTTATAAATAAAAACATTACGAGTATGATAAAAGAATTTAGCAGTACTCCGGATCTGACTATTACTACGAAAACAAATTTTTTATATTGCATGGTACATAAAATTTTGGCCAATTGGAACATTAAAATTCGCAAGATTTAATACGCCTCCTCTGGCGATTTAGTAATCATTTGCAAAAAGACTTTCAAATCATTTAAAAAAATAAATTAATTTTATTAAAAAAAAACTGAAACGGTGAAGCCCATTTGTTTTTTTTTTTTGTTAAGTATAATTATTTAATACTCCATCCGTTCCTTATTATAAGAGACATTTGATGCTTATAGCATGTTCCTAAATATAAGAGACACTTAAAAATTGTCTCTACTTTTTTGTGTTGATTTCCGATTTTACCCATATTTATTGTCTCCAACTCACACTCTCTCTCCTTCCCATTTCTCTTTCTTTTAAGAATTTACTATTGTTCTCTCTCATGCTCTCTCTCCTTATTAATGAGGGTATTTTTGGAAAAAAATTATACTTTTTACACATTCATTGTTCTTAACTAATTTTAACTGTTTTTTTTATCAACGTAATTCGGTTATTCGTCTCTTATAATAAAGAACAGAGGGAGTACTACTAGTAATGCTAACTTACGGGTTTTAGGTGAAAATCAAATCATGATTTTAAAAATAATTTTATAGTACATGGAAAAATTGTGAGAAGAGTTTTGTTTTGACTTCTATGAAGTAGTTTTTAAAACTGCTTTTTGATTATGCCAAACACCCTTTTATTCAATTCAATATATGGGTTAATACAATTTTTTATCTTTCGAGTTTTAAGTCATAGGTTTTGGTGTTTTAAATTTTTTTTCATTTAAAACATTAATTCCTATAATTATAAAAACTTGGACCATTTTATCATTACAGAGATCAAGACTTATGACTTGAAATTTGAATGACCAATACCAAAATAAGAACAAGTTTAGAGGAGCAAAAATTATATTACCCTCAGTGTAATTATCATAGAGTTGGAACAGAGTCTTTTATTGGCGTGTTAGCGCTCCACCTCTAATTTAGGTATAAGATGGATGAAGCATTGTCCTTATTGTCTTAAAACCTAACCATCCAACCAATAATCACAAACACCGATTACATTATGATGACAGCTACAACATCTATCCGGTGATTTGTTTATTTTTAAATGGCTTATAAATAATTTTTTTAATTATGATTTACAAAAATATAAGATAAGTATATGAGAGTAATTTTGTTTCAATTTATGTGAAAACGTACTTATAAGTCATTTTAAACGCTATGCCAAACAAGCTTCTAATTTTTCTAAAAGTTATATTAAAAATAAATTAATTTTTTATTGTTAATCTAAATAGGCTCTTTAATAGGATAAAAAATTTAGTACAGTGACTAGTTTCTCTTAACATTGTATGAACTGTAACAATATGATCATGCATAAGAAAGCTACGTATCTATCCGATTCATCCGTTAATATGATACTCCTCCAATCCTGAATATAAGACCCTTATACTAGTATGTAATTATGTATTATCTAATCAAGTTTAGTATCCTTGATAATTCTCTAAGCTATGAATAATTAGAAAAGACAGTATCTTTTTTGAATCTAGGCTCCTCTTACTCAAAAGAATGTTGAGTCCTTTCTATTCAACTAAAATATTACTATTTTTGATACTTAATATAAGAACTAGCTGTACAGTATTGATCATTACAACACATATCTTTATAGGCTAAGAAAGCGTTACTTAGAATTCTTACCCAACTTTTGTTGGCATAAATATCTTTGTAGATTACAATTAGCCCCCATCGTAGCCCATAATATCTAAGTATATGTTGAAAATTTCACCCAGTTCATGTAGGTTTGAGTAAACACTATAAGATAGACTTACAAATTTTTAACTGATAATCAGACATTATTAATACAAAACAAACGACCAATTGGAATCGGCCATTGATTAAGGGAAACTATACTCAAGTCTCACGGAAGAAGACATTAATTTCAAAAAAATCCCTGAAAATCCCAAATGATTCCTAAGTCCCCAGAGACCTGTGTGTAATTAATTGTAATTGTGAAATTACCTATTTACCTCCATTAATTTGAACCCAATGTAATTCATTTACAACCTCAACAGTGACTTTTAACAACCCGATGAGAGGTGGTTAACAACCTCGGTAATGCCCTTGGCATCCCACAGAGTGAGTTGTTGAGAGCACTGCCGAGATTGTCAACCACTTCTTCTTAGGTTGTCAACAACTACTGTTGAAGTTGTAAATGAATTGCTGCAATAAAATTAATAGGAGTAAATAAGTAATTTCACAATTACAATTAATTACACACAGGTCCCTGGGGATTTCAGAATCATTTCGGGATTTTTAGAGACTTTTTTGAAATTAATTGTCTCCTGTGAAATCTGAGTGTAATTTTCCCATTGATTAATTATAGTGTCAAAAATAGTCGTTTGTCACATGTTGACAAAGAACCAATATTTGGAACCAACGAAGCCCATAGCCATTGGGCCCGCCTCTGCCCCTGACAGATGAGCCTGGTAAGCCGAACCAAGACCAATGGCCCAAAAGGCCCAAATACAAGTCAACTAATATAAGTTGATGATTATTAATTGGTTTAAACGATATAAAAAAATTGAAAAGTAATTTGCGTTAAGTTATTTATTCATTTACTTGGATTAGAATATGCCCAAAATCAGATGTCAATTGTCAAGTATATATCGTGATAAGGCTCTCAAAGATTCGCAGGGACAAATTCAAAATCTCAAATTATTGTTTTATTTACAAAACTAAATTAAATACATTTTAATCATTTTGAGGACGGTCGTGGCGCAAGATAATATGAACGGTCAATAATTTATACATAATTTTTTAAATAGATTTTACATTATATAAATTTTGTTGTGAACATAGAAATATATTATATTAATTTAAATACATATACAAACATATTCATATTACTAATATATATTTTTTATTATATCAAGAAGGTTAATCGGCGATAATAACTTAATAAGTCACAAGTCACACTTAAGACTTGACTCTACCTTTATCATATAATAAGGTAGTTTAGATATCTTTATTAATATTTTAATTTTTCCATTTTTTAAAAATTTATTATATGATTTGGAAAATAAGAGACAATTTATAATATTATAATTATTATTTTTCAAAAAATAAAAGTACAATATTGACTGCTGGTAAAAAAATTTACAATATTGACATTAAGTCAAATAGAACAAAATTTCAAATTTCATCTTAAAATTTTAATATATTATGGAGGGAATTCATATTTAAAATTTAACTTTTTTTTTTATTTTTGTATTTTAAAAGAGGAATCTCCGGATGCATATATAAATAAAATATACGATATCTTTATTTATCTAAATAATAAAAAGATAGGATTTTTTTTTTAAAATTCTCTTTATATGGCCCTCTCGTAAAAAATAGAGGAATACGAATGAGTGCTGCGTATGTTTAGACTTAGAGACAGGACTGTGCATCCAATCCCTTCTCTAATCGAAGCGTAGATTCCCATTCCTTTTCAGTCTTCAAATACCCCTTCTTCCTCTTCGCGGCACTACGCCCAGCAACTCCTCTGTTCCTCTCTCTGCAGTTACTCTCTCTATCGATAACAACAAGCAAGATGCAGATCTTCGTCAAAACTTTGACCGGAAAGACAATCACTCTCGAGGTCGAGAGTAGTGACACAATCGACAATGTTAAGGCCAAGATTCAGGTTCGATTTTCTGCTCCTCACCTCTCTTTTTGTGTTTTTATGGATTGGAATTTCATCAAAGAGGTGGCTTTATAGGTAAAGTTGCATTTTCATCTTTTATTTTGTTTTTTCCTGGATAGAGACATAGTTATTGTCATCAATCATATTATGGGTAGAGGTGTTTCTGTTCTGGGTTTTCTATTCGGGTTCCTGGTTGTTGCTTTTAGGTAGGGTTTTGCTGTAAATGAGCGGTTTTGGTTTTAGTTCTTACCCGGTATCTTAGTATGGTGGTCAATACGAAAGGGGCGGGACCAATTCGATGTTGGTTTTCCTAGAAGCATAAAGCTTAAAACTTGAATTATGTACTCCTTGTCCCTGAAATCCGTATTGGGAAGAAAGTAGTGATCAAAGTGGTCCTCTGGCGCAGGATGCTTTGTCCCTGTCAAATTCACGGTTTATCGGATTCTGTTAGAATATAGAGGAGCAACGGACTCTTGCTTTTGTTTTACTGTGTTATCATCGTATGCCTCTGGAAGTGAAAGTCGTCCATATTCGACATTGAGATTTCCCCTCCGCTGGAACTGGTTACCAATATTTGGAAACTTGAACAATTTAAAACATTGGTGATATCTTAATCCTCCTGAAACAATCGTGAAGATTGGAAAGCTAAGAAAACTATGTAACTATGTTATGTAATTGAGAACTGAAATTTATTTTGCTTTTCTTGTATCGTGTTAGAATTTGACAGGATCCATAAGCCCTCATCCGGTTTTGTTCTTATTTATGACCTCGTATGATGCTTGTGTTGAGGGTAAATGTATGAATCATAATATCTTTGTGATTGATAACTTGGCGCTGTTTGTGGAACGTGTTTGTAGGACAAGGAAGGTATCCCCCCTGATCAGCAGAGGTTGATTTTCGCTGGCAAGCAGCTTGAAGATGGTCGTACTCTTGCTGATTATAACATTCAAAAGGAATCAACACTTCATTTGGTCTTGAGGCTTAGAGGAGGAACCATGATTAAAGTAAAGACTCTTACTGGAAAAGAAATTGAAATTGACATTGAGCCAACTGATACTATTGACCGGATCAAGGAACGTGTTGAAGAGAAAGAGGGGATTCCGCCTGTGCAGCAGAGGTTTGTTCTTTTGGTTTTTTCCTCAATTTACTGATCGTACTGAAGCTATTCATCGGTAGATGGTTCGCTGTTGGATGAAAATTTTATGTCACTTGTTAAATGCAGAAACTTTTGTGTGTCTGATCTGATCATATGTTATTCTACCTCTATCATTTTTGTGCATTTAGGATAAAGGTATACGACATTTATATATTAGTGATGAATTGAGTGGTGCTTCTCACATTTCGATATAGAACTTTGTTCTGCCTGTTTGTATGGTACAGTTTTCTTTGTTAGGCCTTTTCTCTAACCAGTGCTGATAATAAGCATTTTAATTTTTAATTCTCAAGTTATTTGGAATTTGAGATGCTATTGCCTGTCCATATCCATGGCTCTATTATATCCAGAATTTGAATCATAACAACTCTCTTATCTGCTTCTTGCTTTTGTATGTTAACATTATTCTAAAATAGAAGTATTATATATGCTTGAGTCTTGAATTGTTGTTGGTGAACCTTCTGATCCATGCATGCTTATGTTGTATCGGAGACATAATTAATCTGCTCAGACTTCTTTAGCTACAATGAAATGTGAATCTAGCCGACAAGTAACTACTGCTCAGTTTCACTTGATATTCCTTCCAGTTTCCTTTTATACAATATCAGCATTTTGTTATTTTACTCAAAACATCAGAATCTGTTATTGCAACTTGTTGCAGGCTCATATATGCTGGGAAGCAGCTCGCAGATGACAAAACAGCTAAAGAGTACAACATTGAAGGTGGCTCTGTGCTTCACCTTGTGCTTGCCCTTAGGGGTGGTAGTCTTTAGGCAGAATAATAAGCATCCCATTACAGGGAACTCTGCTTTTACAGGCTTGGTTACTTCTTGGTCAAATTTGTTAGTCAAAACTAAAGCCTGAAACCGTGAATGGAAACGATGTCACTATCTTGCTCTAAACATGGCGTTGTTATATCATTAATTTGCTTTCTGCAATTTTTCTAAAATTGTTATAGTAAGTTTGACTCAAGTTATATGCTTTCAAAATCGATAGTCGTCTGAATGATGGATAATTGAACTATTAATTCATGATCAATATTTTAGGGACCTAATCTGGTTCAGTATCATGTTTGCTGAGTGGAGCTCTGCCCCCCCCCTCCCACATTATCCCCTGGTAGATGAGTGAACCTGGTGTTTATATGAGATCTAATAATTTTTTTAAAAAATCTGTCAAACATGGTGATGATTGAGGAAATTAATATGTGAAGCTTTTTCAAAAGATAAAATATCACTTGCATAGAAATTCCGTTAGCTTTCCTTTTAAGTTTGGGTGCTCATCTGAAATGGTGGATGGAGTGTTCATGGATGTTAATGGTATGTGTGGGATTGGAATGGTGATAATGTAGATAGGGCGTTTGATACGTAAAAAAATGGAATGGAGTAGAGAGTTAGAGAGAATAAAAGTAATTCTATGATCTGGAAATGTCTTTTGCATCTCTAAATAAAAGGATAAGAGAAGTTTAACATATATTACATGTATTGTGCCATGAAGAAGGAAGTCTTTCATTTTCTGCAACCAGACAGACACCTCAAAGAGAGACAATATATATCAGTGTGTGTGTACAGGGACTGATGCAATGTGGTTTTCCTCTTTTGGATTTGAGACTAAGTCATATTAGTGTGTGAAGGGTCTTAATGCAGGAAAAAGTCAGATTTCACTATCATGTGGAGTAACTTTGAGTGATGAATACTTTGGAGAAGGGTTTTGGGTTTAGAAAGACTTTGGAGAAGGGTGCTGTGGCCTGAGGCATGTGGGAAGAGTTAGGTTATGAATTGACAGTTTGAAGGTGGACTGAATCTGAATGTGCTCGCTGGCCAGGGGCCACACCAGAAATGCTTCACCTTCAACGGTCCAAATCAGTTCGTCTGCCGGATTCTGCATGTAGGGCCTCACCTATCAATCCTATTTTAATCTCGTCGCCCGTCTCTCAGGAGGGCTTTTCTTTTTCTACTCCTACTTTTATATATATATATATTTATATTACTCTTGTCCTATTTATAAGTTCCAACCTTAAGTTTTATTAATTTTTTTTCTTAAAATTTAATAACTTTTAAACTTTATTCTTATTTAATATACATATATTAGATGAAAATAAATTAATATGATAATAAAAAAATTATCTCTCTGCTATAAATAGAATCAAAAAATTCTTTTTCTCTCCTCTATAATTAGGATAAAAGAGCATGTGTGTGTATATATGTATTGACTTTTATTTTTATTTTTTAAAATAAAGTTTTGGCATATCTGAAAATTTTCTTTGAATATGCTTACTCACATGATGGGGTATGCTTCACATTCAATGGTCCAAATCAATTCATATTCTGGATTCTGCATGCAGGGCCTCACCTCCTCGCTTTTCTTTCATCCTAACCTGACCGTATCAGAATTTTTTCATGGGTCCATATTACATCTTTTGGAAAGAGTGACCCAAGACTCTTGAAATCAGACAATTTGTTTGTTTATTTTTGCGTGTATATAAATTTTTTCTCACAACATAACGAATTAAGATTCTAGTTTTTGTTAAAAAAATATCCACATTTAACGTCCGACAGTGCCTCAAATAGGATTACTTCAATAGAAGATATCTATGCTTTAGCAAAAAAAAAAATCTTTCCTAAAAAGGCATATCATAAATTTTAATTTAGTTTTGATTTTTTCCAATTGATATATTGTTTATCAATATTTTAATTTCAAAGAATGTATTGAAATTAATGTAAGGTATTTTGGTAAAAGGAAATTACATGGAAATGGTGTCTTGAAAAATTCACTAACCATCTTTTGGCATGAGATCATCAATATTCAATAACATAGCATGTACTCATTGGAATTGGATGCCGAAGATTTTTTTTTTCTTTTTTAAATCAGATATTCTTAACCCCCTAAAAAAAGAATAATTTATCATAGATAAATTATAATTAAGAGTAAAAATAAAAAATGCAATTTAAATGATAATATAGCTAAAATAGTAGATGATTTTTTTAATATTGAGAAATTAGGTTACGTTGACTATTCTCGTAGTTGTTTTGACTACTCTTGTAATGTTTTAACAAGTCAAAATCACCTATATGTCATTTTGAAATTCAATAGGTATTTTTTTGCCATTTTTTCTATTATCTCTTTTCATATTAAATGATGATATAATTAAAATAGGAAGAGTTTTTTTTTTTATAAAAAAAATAAAACTTTTCTCCTTTCCTCTTCTCTTTAACCACACCTCATTAGTATATGGCCAACGTAAAGCATACCTCACTAATTACAACATGTGTGCGTGTGTGAATATTGTCTCATCTTAAAATTCAAAACTCAGTAGTTGTTTAGGTACAACATTAATGTCAACTATGTCATCCTCCTCATTCTTTTCGCCACGTCTTTATCATTTGACAAAAAAACTTCTCAGATACTATAATTAATCTTCACCAATCTCTCCCTTTTTCAAATTCAAGTCACATTTGCACCCCCAAAATTTGTAGCCTTTGCAAAGAATCACATCATTTGCATCGCCGGTCCTCATTCGGTGCTCATCGCTAATCGTTGTGATAAAATTTGAACCCTTAAAAATTTTATTTGGATAGTTTAGATTTAAGATTTTTAATCTACATTTTTTAATAATAAATTTATTCTTTTTAAATTATCTTTATTTTAAATTCCATGTGCATTAAAATTTAAATTTATTTAAAATATAAAAATAATTAAATTGAATCTGAATCATTCACAATCAATTTATATAATATGATAAAAATGAGCACCGCATACTCATCTTTTGATGAGCATGGAATGCGCTTCATATTGCATCACGTACGTATCATTTGTAGCAACTAAAGTTATATTACTAGGATTATTTATTTAGTTTACTAAATTACCAATTATATTTGAAAATTAAATGTTAATCAAAATTCATTCATTAATATGAATTTCACACTGTGGAAAATACGTACCTCAAGCTAGAAACTAAGGACGTATGCATAAAAATTAAAAACTAAACACTGATTCAAGAGTATTGTAAAGAATTTGATGAATGATCAGTCAGCTGTTTTGTGACTTATTATTGGTATTTCTTGATATAAATTATATATTTATTTATATTGATGATAATATTAATCTCTCATATGTATACTTTTTTTTCCAAAGAAAAATAAATTGAAACAAAAATGATAGTTAATCACGGTCTTAGGAGAATAAAATTATGAAGATGAACCAACGGGGGTTGGGTCTAACAGAAGGGTTAGTCTCTCACAATGTGACGAACTAAGGTTCGAATATTCACTTGAAAAAGTATCTACATTTAGTATCTGACAGTATTTCGAATAGGATTGTCTCCAATAGAAAGAAACTTATATATGCTTTAGCCAAAAAAAAAAAAATTATGGAGCTGATAATGAAATTAGGTGACATGTGAATAATAATAACCATCCAATCAAAGTATATATCAACTGATGAAAACTACAGGCAAAGAACCTAACGCATGTGATAGAAGAAATTCCCGGGCTTTGTGTTCACAACTCTCTAATCATGTACACATAAGTGATGCGTCATAATTATGCAATAATATATATTCTCATGGACTTTAGGAAAATTGCTTTAAAATCTTCCATAGTAAAATTTATTATTTGAAAGGCACCTGAAGTTTGTTTAAGCATCCAAGTGCAGCTTATCTTTAAGTGCGTGCAATATATATATATATATATATATATATATATTTTATAACTATGTGAAACATATATTTACTTGTATGTAACATTTTTTTTGTGAGGGCACTATTGGGTACTAAATGTAAGTACTTCTCCTAGTAGAAATTTAAACATTGATTTATCAAGTTGTGAGGAATTAGTCTTTTTTATTAAACCCAACTCCTATTGATTGTTTAAGCATCCAAGTGCAGCGTGTAATATATATTTAACTGTGTGCAACATATCTTTATTTATATGTAACATTTTTTAGTATGCATAGATATCCTTCTATTGGAGACAATCCTGTTTGAGATAATATTGGGCATTAAATATGAGTATTTCTCTCAGTATAAATTTAAACTTTGATTTATCATATTGTGAGGGATTAGTCTCTTTTGTTAAACCCAATTCTTATTAATTGTATGTAACATATTTTCAGCTACGTGCAAAACGAAACATATTTACATATAACTAAAGATATGCTGCTGAAAGTGTTGCGCTGCCGGCTGAAGATGGGTTTGCATCCGCTCAAAGAACTGGCCCCTTAAGAATTGTTGGGCAATAAATTTTGTACTATAAGGAAAATTTTCAGGGAACTTTCTCTTGAATATTCTTTTTCTTGTTTTTTGTTTCCTGGGGTTGTCGTGTAGTTAATTATTCAGTCATGTTTCATTAATTATTGGCAAGTGACCAATCCTTACTGAAACAAAAGAAAGTAAAGGGTCAATATATTAGGTACGTGTGTGTGTGTATGTGTACAAAGAGGCACAAAAGGCTAATGACAAAGTTAGTTTTCCAACCCCAGACTTGAAAGTACATACACATATAATTATATAATAATAACTAAGCAAGCATTTTCTTTATTTCATTTTTTCCAACTCCCTGGGCTATGTCCTTTTCAAATGTTGGTAAACTTACGGACTACTGAGTGTAGAATATTATATTAGAGACCGTTGTTAAATTTTGATCAAGTGAAAAAAGGAATTAATAATAATAATACATTAGATAAAATATAATTATTTATATTTGATGAAGAAAATAAGGTACTAAGGCTGCATGCAGCTGGTGGCCTAAATCATGAGACTCGTCTTTGACGTGAAAGCACACCCTGAATCTTACGACATTCCGCTTGTATTAATTTTTTAAAAAAATTAAGAAAATTGATAGTGTTCCTAATGATAATATACACTAACTCCAGTCCTAATTAAACGACCTAGTTGATTAATTTGAAGAGATTAAAGAAATAAGATAAGTTAGTTATTTGTAACAAATAGGTGTTATCTTTTCTAAAATATCCTTGTTAGTCAACTATATTAGCTAGAACTATTATTATTAAAAGGATTATTTTGAAAAAAAATATATATGAGAGACAAAGTGGATTGAAGTCTTATTTTTAGGACCCAAATAAAAATTAAATAAGGTTTTATATTAAGGACCAGAGCTAGTATAACTAAGTGGCCAAGATATTATACCTCAGAAAATCAGATGGAAGAGAAGAAAATGTTTATAGTTTATAAATTATATGGCAACTTGTTATAAGTTTTTTAAAATATAAAATGTACACAATTTATTCGTAAATCACAACAATAATACAATTCATTTTCAAACTCCGTGCAAGATGCTAGGGGAAATGATCTAACAAAATAATTTATTTGTAATACTTACTTATCCATATATCAATATTTAATATAAATTTTAAAGGAGCTTTTACACTTTTAAAACTATGAAAATTTATGAATAACCTCAGTTATGCCAATTATACTTTATTTCACATACCACAGGTTTGATTAAAAGATATGCACCTTAATTTGGAGAAAAACTAGATAAATATTTACTACTTGAATTAATATATTAAATGCATGAATTACATGTAATCTACACATAAAAATACTAATAAAGTACATGAATCACATAATAATAATTTTTTATACAGGAAGAAATAATCCTCAGAATATTCCTTGCCAAGTTTGTGCTTAAGTTGTATGAAATGAATAGTTCAGATTTTTCGACATAAAATTGCATGAACCAAGAGAAGATGAAGATCTTTGAATTTAGGGATTATAAAAATTTTCTCATATAATAATTATAAATCAGGAATTTTCTCCCAAAATTGATTAATATATCATCACTGTACGTACATTTAATTTACTGTTGCTAGAAAAAGAAGAACATAAAAAGAAGAGATACTTAGATGAAGACCAAAATTAGCATGCAAGAAAATAGAAAAATTCAAATTAAATAATGATTTTTCGTATTCATGAACCAATTTTTTTGTTTAAAATTAAATGAGCGTGCATACAACTTTTACCTAAAATAATATCTTGTAAAAATACACTCAATTCAAGACCTAACAATGATTATAAAATTGATAAGCATTGATTTTTGATTAAGAAATAAATTATCCTTTTGAAGATATCCACTTCTTAATATTATCGTTAATTATTTTCTCCATCAACTATTAACCACCAACTATTTTCTCTGCCACCTTCCTCTTTGTTGACGATATATTAGTTTTAGAATTGATGACAATAGAGACAACTATTTACATTTCTGGGGTAGTGATTAGAGAAAATTTTTTGAACTCATAATTTAATTTTGTTATATCACAAAAATATTTTTTATAACACAAAGGGTAATACATAATTAGGAAAAATTTTAATATTTAAGATCTTTTACGATACACTTATTATTAATTAATTTTAAATATTTTTGGCCAAAAAAATTAATTTTTAATTATTGAAACGTCATTTTTCTACATTTAACAGAATAGGAAAAAGTTTTTGGGAGTATATATGCAGACATCGTACAAAGGGAAAGAGGGATATAAGTTTTCAGAAAAAAAGAAAGAATAATGGATTTGACTGCTCAAATAATCTGATCCACATGGAAATAAATTAAACTTCCGAATCATAAAAACATAAAGCCCCAAAAAAAAAAAATCAGACTGGAATACACAATTAGTGGCCAACAAGAGAAGACTTAAAATCTCATTAATACTGAAAAAGACAATAAAATTTAAATGAATGTGATTTATTTCATTAAATGAATTAACATCCAATCAATCCCTCCTTTCCTTTCTAAGTATCTTTTGCTGCCACAAAATCCAAATTCGTGGCATCACTCTTGTGGCCTCAAACTCTCACCGCTTTCTCTCCCCCTCCCTCTCTCCACACTTACATATACATATATGGGAACATATGGGAACATAGAAACATATATAGAGAGGTAGAGATAGAAAGAGAAAGAGAGAGATCTAGAGAGAGGACATATGTGTGTGTGTGTGTAAGTGTGTATATATTAGAGGCTAGCTAGGATCATCAGTGGACAGAAAGACATATATCAGAAATGGGCAAAGGAAGAGCTCCATGCTGTGATAAGAACAAGGTGAAGAGAGGACCTTGGAGCCCCCAAGAAGATCTTAAGCTCGTCACCTTCATCCAGAAACATGGTCATCAGAATTGGCGTTCCCTCCCCAAGCAAGCAGGTATCTTATGTTTTTGTAAAGAAAAATTCCAGAACTCTTGTTCTTGAATCATATTTCGAGCCTTCTTCACTTTGCATTTGAATTATTTAGTTTTACTTCTATATACGAGGAAGGTTTTTGCAGTTTCTGATATATATCAGCTTCCAGGGATTTCTGCATTTTGCATTGTTCATATTTGCAAATCTCTTCTTCTTCGTCTTCTTCTTCGTCAGACTGCTTTCTGTAATATTATACTGTTTCTTTTTGTCTGTGAATATCAATGAAACTAGATTGACGGATTCATTTATTTTTCGTTGAAAATTTAATATATGGCTCATTAATTCGGAGGCGATGACATTTGGCTGCCTTCACAGGGCGATGAAAAAGTTTCAAGTTTGGTCAGCAATTTTTTGGCTGTGGGTCCTCCTTTACCTATACAATGACATCTCAAATATTAAGATTAAAATAATATAATCATCTTCGTCGTCTTCATCATCATGTCCAATTTCTGATAATGCATTTCACCTACCATTAATATGGCCCATCTGCCACCACCTAGCTTCAATCTCATTCCATATACACACGCGCACACACACACAAGCATTTAATTTTTTTATTATCAGGTCAAATTCCATCAGTCATATTGTCTCTTCATATTTTGGAGCCTCGATCATTACAAAAACACTCTTGATCTCCACATTTCTTTAAAATATATTATTGTCTGAATTGTTTTTGCAAGAAAAAACTCATGAGCATATCAAAACCAGTGAGAAGTGAAAGAGGATGAGTATAAAAGCTTCATGTCCTCTAAAACCAGAATATACATCAGAAAATTGCAGTACGTAGGTAGAAGCAGGAAACCACTCAAAATCTACGTTGAATATATGTTTGATATGTACATCTCTGTGTGTTTTCTCCTCAGGGCTTCTTCGATGTGGAAAAAGCTGTCGTCTGAGATGGATCAACTACCTAAGGCCTGATGTGAAGAGAGGAAACTTCACAGAAGAAGAAGAAGAAACCATAATGAAGCTTCATGAGGTCTTAGGAAACAAGTAAGCTTAGCTTCTTCTGTCTCCTGTTCATCAAAAAGACATCTTTATTACTTTATAATTCCATGTCTGATCTGATGGATTTTATTGCATCATTATTGCAAACCAAAGTAGTCTCTGTGTGTGTGTGTGTGTGTGTGTGTGTGTTTGCTTAAATCCAAGTTTCTTCATTTCAGGTGGTCAAAAATTGCGTCCGAGTTGCCTGGTAGAACAGACAATGAGATCAAGAATGTGTGGCACACCCATTTGAAGAAGAAATTATTATCGAAGAACAGTTCAGATAATAATATTAACCTGTCCACTAGCACTGATCAGTCCAAGCAAGAATCATGCATAACCTCTTCTTCGTCGTCTTCCTCAACTGGACGCCAAGACGCGACAACATTAATTCCTCAGAAAACTGCAGACAATAATGAGCAGAACTTTGAAAATCCCACTAAAGAGTCCTCTTCACCAAGTTCCTTTCAGTGTTGTACTGATCAATCATCAACAACTATCTGCAAATTACCAGACGATAATCAGCTGGAACTAGTTGTAGCAGGTTCTTCTTCATTGTATCAAGGAGGGCCAGATAATAATGATTACAGTGATACAGTACTAAACGAGGTTGTTGACAAGCCAGCTAATGATAACACTATTGATTTGCTTGAAATACCATTGGAGGCAGACGATGATTTTTGGAACATGCTGGATGATGACAACAACATAGGAGGAGGATCCTTCGTGTCAGATCATCATCAGGTTCATTCAGATGCTGAAACTATGAAGTGGATCAGGGAGATTGAGAAGGATCTTGGATTGGAACCTCAACAGCCATCATCTGATCTAATCATAGGATTGCCTGATGTACACATGTGGGCTAATAATGTTAGTTCTGGTTTCTGAGTCTGTAAGGATTTTGTTCATAATATAGCTAGGTTAGTTTTAATTTGATCAGGTGGAGACTCTATATTTTGTGTCTTTTTTTGGGCTTTAGGTTCCCTAACTTTCTAATACTATCTCCAGTCCTAATTATAAGACCTCGTTTGTAAATTAGGATAGAAGGTAGTATGTGAATTGAGCTTGTTAATAGTTAATTAGCATTTAATAGTTTTTCATTTTAGTTTAATGGATTAATCTCTGTACGTAGTGAAGATAGGGCATGTATGTAGTTATTATTAGATTCGAGTGTGCGCGCGCGCGCGCGTGTTGCATGCATCTTCATGAAGGGAAAAATATTAGTGGTGGATTAAATATGAAGTCTTTAAGGTTACGATTTCTTGAGATGTGATTATAAATTGAATTTCTATGCCCATTCTGTATCATAATTTAAAAAAAAATCAATATCAATATGTCTTCCGCACACAAGATATGAAATATTTAGGTTTTGGCAAAAGTAATCTTTAGCTTGATCCTTTAATTTTGTATAAAATTCCGCAGTTTATAAAGTGTCTTCGCAGTTTTCTAACACTGATATTGTTGGTTTTGTTAACAAATTAAAACACAATGATATAGAATTTTTAAATTTTCACAAAATATTTTAATTAAACTCTTACATATTAAGTTTAATTTTTTAAACTGACAATGTTTATCACAAAAAATTATTATTTGAGATAAATGGTATTCGGATTAGAGAACTAAAAAAAGTATATCACTTGCTTTTTTTCTTTCTTTTTTCCCTTTTCCGTCCGTTACATTAGGAATGAATTGTTTGAAATGTGCACAATATGGTTTACTTGCGGACTGTTTGAAGTATACAGAGGGGAAAAAATTGTTGGTGAACAATAATATTATAGCTATCAAACAAAAAACTGGTGAGCAAGCGGAGTAGCTAGGTTATTGTAAATATTTCTCCATTTAACAAACATTAGTTTGACAATTTTTGCTTCATGTCCCCACAACTTTGAAGAATATTTATACATGAAAGCAAAATCTTGAAATTAACTTGGAAGTCCAATTTCTACAAATTCATACAAACTAGTGATTGATGATTTTGACTGACTCTTTTTATTTTTATTTTTATGAAGTCCCTCTATCCACACTCAAGTCAACAGAAATGAACAAATAAACAAGAAAATTGATCCAAAGAAAAAAACCGAATAAAACCAAAGTCCTTATCTAATAGAGTCAAATAATTTAAAAGAAGTGAATGAACTTACAACAATTCATTAAATTATATTGTTGGTTTCATTTGATCTTTCAAAATCATTGATCACACATGAATCATATTGGCCTCATAAGAGCTCCCAATTTTCTTATGGATGACTTATATTATTACCCCTTTGGAAGTCGAATTCTATGTGTTTTATTATAAAATAAAAATAATAGAATAGTAGTAGTCAAGTTGTGTCTTGACTTTGTAGTTTTAATTTAGTGATAATTTGGAGTTTGATCATATTAAGCTGACCCTTAAAAAAGTGATAATCTCAGCATAAATTTATTCAAGTGATAATGTCTACCCCAAGTTTGTTATTTACTAAAGTTCATAGGATAGTAGGGCTAATTAAATTAATATACTCCCTCTTATTCTATATGTAGGATCTCGATCGCTAATTTATAAATATGAAGAACATTATTTAGTTAATTATATGTTAATCTTTTTTAAGATACCCCTAAATAGTCATTTACACCTGTGGAAGCCCTTTTTTAAGATGTGTATCAATAGGGATAGTTTAGAAAATAATATAAATTTTAGATACAAAGTGAATTAGGATATTATATTTAGAACTAAAATAAACCCCCCATTTAGTTCTAACATTTAGGACCGGAGGCAGTAGTAAGACAGGGTAATGCCTAATATGGGTAATGATTGGGACACAATCTTAGGAAACAAGAAGAAAGCACATGTGGACATGTTTGGCTGCTTTACTATATATGTTTGGTAACAAGAGAAAATAAAGAAAGGAAACCAATTAAGGAATCCAATCAATTGAAGTACACATAGTTATTGAGACGGCAGCTTCTTGGTATAGTCAATAATCAGAAGGTTAAGCAGTGCACTTCACAAAGAGTTAAAAATGAACAATGTGCCTAATTTGCAAATCTTAGAAGTAAAGCGTTGAATAATTAAGTTTGTGGTGTGTTGTTTTAATTACACACACACACACCCCTTATAATATTTGTGTGGGTTCCACCGACTTTGACTTTCACATGGATTTATTGTCACAGCAGATTATAAGAAATTGTCACTTGTCAGCTTTCTTTCAATTTTCACCAGAAGTTTACGTTCAAATTATTCCATCATTCTTGAGTTGGATTCGTATTCGAATCTATCTATCCGTTAACTAAAGGTGTGACTCATTTTCTCAGTAATCAATCAAATAATTTGTGTGTGTGTGTGTGTATATATATCACTTCTTGTAAAGAGACATATGCACAGTATGATAGGGAACATGCAAAAGTACGTACGTACGTACGTGTTTGCATCTATTTTGATTTTTGAATCGTCCAAGCTAGATTTAAATGACTTACACCCTATATTCATTTTTGGATCATGCAGATAAAATAATCTGAGTTTGAGGGCAATTTTACTTCTTTAATCTGTGCAGTGCATAGCTTTTGGCTGTGGCCAGAATAATGGGCAAAGACCGTACATTATATTGCATGTGAGTGGATGATATGTATACCTATTTTTCTTGTTCCATGTAGGACAAGAGGAGGAAGAAGGAGATCTGGAAAAACCCCTTGTTTTGTTTCTGCATTCTTCATTACTACATGCATATCTATCATCTTCTTCAAATATCTTCTTCTGCTGCTAATTAACCGCTACATATATATATATATATATATAATCAATGACAATTGATTGGTTCTTTGATTCTGTGAAGTTGGTTTTGTGTTTTGTGTGCGCGTGAAGCTTAATTTCAGCTTACTGCAGGCTTAATTCGAGGATTATCAGTGATAATCTGCAAAGTATTTTTGCGTTATTTGTTTTCTCTGGGAATATTATATATAATTATTGAAAATTGGTTTGAAATAATGAAGAAAAGCTGATTAAGATTTGCTGATGTTATGGATATCTTTGAAACTTGGCCTGAAATTAGTGTTTGTGGGTCCTTCTTCTACCTATAACAATGATACTGAAATGTGGGACATTATTAATCACATTTTCATTCATCTTCTCCCACAAGTTCAATTTCTCTCATAATGCGTGCCCACCCACCTACCATTATTATGCCCTAAATAATAACATTTTTTAGGTGTATATATATATATATATATATATATTCAAGTTTATAATATAATATTTTTTAAAATAACAAATCAAACCACCACATACCTTTGCCTTTTATTAACATAAAAAGTACTACCTCCGGTCTTTAATATAAGATATCGTTTGACTTTTATTTTGATCCACCCCAATCTATTTTGTCTCTCATTTATGTATATATTTATTTAAGGAAGTCTTCTAATAGTGATAATTCTAGTTAATATACTTGATTAACAATGATATTTTAGAAAAGATAACACCTATTCATTATAAATAACTAACTTAACTTATTTTCTTAATCTCTTCAAATTACTCAACTAGTTTTTACAACTAAGACTGGAGGTTGTATAATCGTTTGAGGCTAGCTATGAGTTTTCGTACATGGGTGAAAACATTATGTTTAAAGAATTAGGATTTTTTTGCCAACTAAAAGAATTAGGATTAATTTTACTCGAATCCAACTTAGTGGTTAAAAATTTAATTAATACCGAGAAATTGGCCAGAATACGTGGGAAGTGAAACATGAAAAGAAAAGTTGGTATAAGCAACAATCTGGTGAGTAAAAACAAATAAAAGGCAAGTGGGACAAGTTGGATATACTTAATCTCCACTTAGTAGCATCAACTTTGACAATTTTTTGCCTCAAATTTTGAAGAAAAGCCATGAAAGCAACCTCCAAAGGACAATTCTTCATGACTCATATGATATCTATATCCTAATTAAATCCTGGTCAACAGTCTATTTGCTTTTGGCCGTCGGAAATACTAAATAGCTTTTAATATTTAATTTGTTTCTCGAAGAAAATTAAATACAAGTAGTTAAGTATCCAATTTAACTGATCTCATTCTGAAAAAAAAATTTATCACTAATCAATATATATATTTGTATTTACATGAGATGCGATAATATTAGCAGGCTTTTTTCCCCTCTTTTTTCTGGTAAAAATATTTGAAGTTTTTTTTTTTTTGGTTTATAGAAAGTCCGTAAGGAGAAAGAAATTTCTTAAGCAAATCCCATTAATCATCAGTGCATAAATATGCATGTATACATATGAGTTGAAAAATTGAAAATCTAAAGTGGCAATAGGCTGCTGGCTAATATAATATTAATTCTTAAAGCAAAAATGAATTGTTAACAAAGGAAAAAAATGGAACAACATGTCAAAAAGGATGTGAAC